GTTAACTTTAAATAGAAACCAAGACCTAATAAATTTAAAATTAATGCAAATATGCAGATGCTTTCTTTTCTGGGGTTCCACTGTGATATGGTAGGATTGTTATTTCCAGGAATTATTTCCTGGAGTATATCCTTGGATATTTTCAGGAATTGTATCCTTGAATAAGCATGATACTGTACTATTAAAATGTTTGAATATAGCCATTTAAGGTTATCAGTGATGAGGATTACTTCTAAAGAGAGTTAAGTCTCCTCTGCCCACACCACCTATTCTCAACACTTTTGCCTAAGCAGTTCCTCAGGAGTGTTTCTCCATTTCTTTTTAAAGAAATCAGGCCCTCTGAGTCAAAATGGAGATTACAAAGATTTCCCAAGAATAAAACAGTTAAATTGCCATCAGTCTCTAAGGTAGTTAGCTCTGCAGTCTGGTGTTTCTGTTTTTACATTGCTTTTCCTCTGAGAATGCCACTGCGACATGGCAGTTATAAGTATAAAAAACAGTTTAACAAGAACATCCATAATGATAAGTTTTACTGTGCTGTATTTCCATGGTTTAACCCTTCTTCAAGTGGCCCAAGGATTTGGAAGGTACAGGTAAATTCCCATTGAGGGAAAGAAGGGCGATAAAATTTTTAATAATGCTGGTGTTACTTTACTGTGAGAGGCACTGGCAGTTAGTGCATATGAATTAAATTCCATTTGAAAGATTTGGCCTTCTTTTATTTCATTGACAGTTATAAGCTAAAGCTGTAGATTTCACCATTTTAATTAATTATTATTATTAATAATAATTATTATCTGAAGACTGATGCTGCCTGGCATACATGGTGTTCAAATTACCACACTTAATTCTAAGGGTTTAATTCTCTGTCCTCAGCCTAGGGTCTCAGAGGGAGTACAGCTGTCAAGCATTATGAAGCCTCAGGTTGTTCCCCTTTGCCTGGAAGGTGGAGCATGCATATTCCTTCTGTCTGTTCTGTGGGTGGTTAATGCCGCTAAACTGTAGGACCTCCAGGACTGCAAATAGGTCATCTCCTAAATTTCTTGTTTCGGATGCCCTCAGAGGGGTCAGGTACAGTTTATCTTGAGCAAATAAATAAATAATTAAGATCCTCAAACTAGTACATACCACTAAGAAGTGGGTGATACTGAGATCTGTGTAGCACAAACCTGTATGTTTACTTTCCCTAGACTATGGCCTTTCTATTTACGCAGTTCTGTGTAGGGGTAAAATACAGTTACCTGTTCGAGCTGTGTCTTTTCAGTAATGTGTGCTTGTGTACCGACACACACACATGCACACCAAGCAGTAGGTTTTTAGTTCACTCTGAAGACAGGAAGGTCCATAAGAGGTCTGTAACCTTTGCAGAATACTCTGATATGGTGAATATATACTTTAGTGGTCTCTGAGGCTTTAAGGAGCAAGAGTAGCATCACTTTACGTAGTTAGCACATCAACCGTCTTTGAGGCTACTGGTAAGTCCATGAAATGTCCAGGAAGTGATTAATTACATCCCTTTGTCTCAGGGAAGTATGCCATCACTTTTACTGGTGCTAACCCTAACACTAGATTTCAGTGTCTCATATAAATAAAATAGTTAAAAAATGGAGCAACAGTAGTATGATGCTAAGGGACACTCAACATGATACAGGCTGTTAAATTGAGAATAAACTCAATGAATGTAGACAAAAGTGATGCAGTAGAATAGAATGGGCTATTCCAGTTGGAAGGGACCTACAACGTCTAGTCCAACTGCTTGACCAAACCAGGGCTCACAAAAGTTAAAGCCTGTTACTGAGGGCATTGTCCAAGTTCCTCTTAAAAACTGAGAGGCTTGCGGCATCAACCACCTCTGTAGGAGGCCTGCTGCAGTGTTTGACCTCCCTCTCAGTGAAGAAATGTTTGCCAGTGCCCAGTCTAAATCTCCCGAGGTGCAGCTTTGAGCCATTCCCACACATCCTGTTCCTGGATCACAGGGAGAAGAGGTGAGCACCCCCCTCTCCACTTCCCGTCCTCAGGAAGCTGTAGGGAGCAATGAGCTCATCCCTCAGACTCCCTTCCTCCAAACCAGACAAGGCCAGAGCCCTCGACCGCTCCTCACAGGATGCACCTTTCAGCCCTTCCACCAGCTTTGTTGCCTTCCTCTGGGTGCATCCAAGGACCTTCACATCCTTCTTAAACTGTGGGCCCAGAGCTGCACACAGGGCTCAAGGTGAGGCTGCACAACTCTGAATACAGCAGGGTAGTCACCTCCTTTGATCGGCTCATTCTGCTGCGTTTGATGCACCTCAGGGTGCAGCTTGCTCTCTTGGCTGCCAGGACACACCACTGACTCACAGTTTGTTCAGTGTCAACCAGCACCCCCAGAGCCCTTTCTGAAGGGCTGCCCTCCAGCCTCTCCTCTGCCAGTTTATACTTGTGCCTGGTGTTATTTTGTCCCAGGTACAAAATACAGCATTTTGATTTGTTACATTTCTTCTCTTTAATCACTGTCCAGTGCTCCAGTCTATTTGGATCCCTCTGCAAAGCCTCTTGTCCCTCAAGGGGGTCAGTAGCACCTCCCAGTTTAGTATCACCAGCAAACTTACTAACGATACATCAAACTCAAGCCTCCAAATCACTGACAAATATATCAAACAGAACTGGGACTAGAATTGAGCCCTGAGGAGCACTGCTGGTGACCATCTGCCAGACAGATGTAGCCATATTCACTACAAACCTTTGAGCCCTGTCGTTCATCCAGTTCTTCAGCCCACACACTATGAACCTGCTCATCCCACAGCTGGGCAATTTGTCCAGAAGGATTCTGTGAGGGACAGTATCAGATCCTCACTAAAATCCAAAAAACTACATCCAGTTCGGCAAGTGACCTTATCATAAAAGGGTGTCAGATTAGTTAAATGGTTTTCCTTTGGGAACCCATGTTGTCTGTGCCTGATGATTGTATTATTCTTTAAATACATTTCAGTAGTACCCATTATGATCTTCATAATTTTTCCAGGAACTGAGGTTAGACTAATGGTCTGTTGTTTGCTGGGTCTTCCCTCATGCACTTTGGGTGGGTCGGAATAACACTGGTTAGCTTCCAGTTGGCAGGGACTCCCCAGAAGGCTCAGGATCCTGCAGATCTTTGAGGTGTCCAAAGAAGATTTCCCCATATGTGTTTATGGTTTCTTCATGAGCATGCACATGGGGAAGTGAGAACGGGCTCATCCATAGTACAGAGTTGCACCACTTCAGCTGGAGGTGTCTTTCAAAGAGAAGGCAGCATGAAAATTATTATGGCAGTACTAATATACTTCAGTTAATCTTAGTCAAATCAAATCCTGTTTAATTTATAATAAACCAACTCATTTTACTGAATGTTTTTGTATTTGACTTAAAATAAAGACACGTAATTCTTCCTGAAGTGAAGATATTGATGGATCAACTACATAGATTGGGATTAATATTTTAGAATACTGCAGGGTTTTGAAAGATTAGAGTTTTTGAGTGTTGATGTGTCCTTTCTGGTGATGTCATTGAGATTATTTGCAAAACCAGGCCTGTTTCCTGAGGTCACTTTGAGTTTTGACTTGAAATAACTGCAAGCTTAATTATCCCCTTTTTGTTCATCGTTGAGGAACTTTAAATTACTGTGTATCTTACAAAATTTGCAGTTGTCATGGTTTAACCCCAGTTAGCAACTAAAGAGCCACTTGGTCACGCCCCTTGCAATAGGATGGGGGAGAGAATCAAAAGGTTAAAAGTGAGGAAACTCATGAGTTGAGATAAAGACAGTTTAATAGGGAAAACAAAACTGTGCACACAGGCAAAGCAAACCAAAGAGTTCATTCACCACTTCCCACGGTCATGTCCAGAAAAGTGTGGCTGCATTACATGTAACAGTTACTTGGGAAGACAAACACCATCACTCCAAAAGACCTTCCCTTTCTTCTCTCCCCAGCTTTATATGCTGATCATGATGCCATATGGTGTGGGATATCCCTCTGGTCAGTTGGAGTCATCTGTCCTGGCTATGTCTCCTCCCGACTTCTGCACCCTGAGCCTCCTTGCTGGTGGGGTGACGTGAGGAGCAGAAAGGGCCTGTGTAAGCACTGCTCAGCAGTAACTGAAACATCGCTGTGTTATCAACACTGTTTGCAGCACAAATCCAAAACATAGTCCATACCAGCCAAAACTAGCACATTAGTGCAAAATAAAGTCAGATTTCAAGTAGGGTGGAGAGAAATTCTCCCTAAAGACAAGGAGGATGAATGTTTCCTTAGAGGTTTGTGGAACAAAGTTTCAGGTTATGAATGTTTAGGTATTAGAGATTAAAATTTCTTTGTCAAATTGTGAAGGCTGTATAAGTTGAATATTTACATTTCTGCTGTTTACTGATGGAATGAACAAGGAGTATTTTTATTGTACTGTTGTGACTTTTGCAGTTTTGCATGAATTGATTCTGTAGTTTGACTTAGACATTATGCTGTAAAGTTACCATTTCCGTTTTTCTTTCTTCTTTCTTGCCTGCATTTGGCAGAAAGTGAAGTCTATTCCTGTTGTATAGTCTGATGCTGTGAACATGCTTTTTATAATTTAATTATATAAATAACCAAATGTAGTGCATTTTACAGTACATTTCCTTATGCAAACTAGATGGAATGCTTTTTAATAACCATATAGACATTTGATGATTTTTATACTTGCCATTTGAAGACAGTTTGGATATAGATTGATATAGAATTACTTAAAGTACTGCATATAAATTAAACATTAGAAAGGTAGGTACAGACAGACTAAGCAGCTCAATTATAATCTTTGGTTATGCAGTTACTGCCTCAAGGACACTCCATCCATTTCATATCATATGTCCTTCTTTTGAAAGATGATCAGTGGGTTCAAGTAACATTTCAGCACACAGGAAATTACATAATTTATAGACTTAGAGAAATGAAAAGCAGAAAACTGGTTTTCATAAATTAAATCTCCCCCTCTTTTTTTTTCTCCCCTTACAGATTGGAACACTGAAAGATTACTACCACTTCTACCATAGTAAAACAATTAAAAGGTCAGTTCTCTCAAGTAGAGGTACCCACAGCTTCATTTCGATGGAACCAAAGGTAAGAAAATCCACATATGTGTCTGATGCAAAAGCCTTTGCATTTTTTATATGAAATGTCATACCAGAGGACTTGCACCTGAATGGCATATAGCATTACAAGAACTGACACACTATCTGTTTGCTAGGGTTCTGCTTGTCATTAAAACAAACGAAAGACAGTACCATGCTATTCCGTTTGTGCTATTGTTGGAACATAAGGTCCAGAATTATTCATGGAGGAGTACAGGAATTGTGTTAATGCAGTAATCACTGTGCTGTGCTTCTCTGCAAAACCACATGTGTAATACTCATGTCTGCAGATCTCTGTAAATCAGCCAGCTTTCAGAATGAAGGTGAGCTGTGTGGGATAGTACAGTGTTCAGAGCAAATTTTCTCTTGCCATTTTCTGGTCTTCCTCTGGAATTGATGTAAGAGGGATTACAATTAGAATGCTTTTTTCTGTGGTCCTTTTGATAGTTCCTGTCAATCATCATTTTAAGAACTGTTTGAAAAATGGTGTCACATCTTTGGAATATATACTATACTGTAAACATAATTTAATTACTGATTTGTAGTTAAGTATAATATTGTCTTGTGTCTGTACCCAAGGCACACTTTTATTTTAATCCTTTAATTTCAGTGGTTAGAAGCTTTATCACGGACTGTTGGATTGGATTGCTTCTCGTTTTCTTTTAGAAAAAATGTTTGGAGAAGATCACATTAGCTTTTTTATGCTGTTTATGCAACCCAGTTTCGCCAGCAAGCCCCCAAGTCCCTGGTGTTTTTCAGTGATGATAGCTGAGTCAAGTTTTTTTTAAGTCCTTGGATGATGACTGCTGTCTGTGAAGGATTTGACAGGTTTTACTTGAAAAATATTTTATGAGAAGTAAGAGTTGTCAGTAAAAGACAGTTCGAATACTGTAGATGCATGGTATAGAAGCTGAGCATTGCAGTCTGGAAAGCTGTATTTAGGACTGAAGTTCCTCTTGAGGATAGGACAAGACTAGGGAAAGGCCCACAAAGCCTGTTTGCCCCTGTGTTGATTCGGCTGAACTGTTTAATCTTTTAAGAGCACGAGCAGCTCTGCTGAGCAATATATTTGGGGGATTAGATGGTGAGGGCCCAAATCTCTGTTCTGACAAGTTCGAAGACCCCCATTCTAACCACAAGCACTGCACTTAGAATAGCGATACTGCAAAAGGAAGGGGAAGTGTTGAATCCCCATCAGTCTTCTGGAATGCACAGAGGTAGAGTGATTTACACACAAATGCACCAGTTCACATGCATGTATGTACTTTACACCCAGCTTCCAGACACCCCTTCTGCACCTCTGGCACCCAGGCCAGACTACTTTGGCCAGAATTGTGAGAGACTCTAGGGCAGAACACAGCAGAAAATCAGGACTATCATTTATTTTCCAGTGCTTTCCATGTTACGCCATTTAGGTCTTGTCCCCAGTCTGCACTGTCACTGGTGCAGAATTTGTGAATCATTGTTAAATACCACCTTAATATTGAGAAGCTGTGGTGGAGGTTGTGCAGTGTACTCAACCCTGTTAATAATTCTATACCCAAAGAGAAACTGATGGTCTAGTACCTAGATCTGTCAAAAGTGTTTGTGATTGACTTTGTGACTACTCTGCGGAGCCTGAGCTTGGGAATTCTTGTGTGGCTGCAAACATGTCAATGTATGGACAGATATTTGTAGAATAAAGGCCAGTTTGTCCTCAGAGTGTGTAACATTTAATGATTATTAAAGCAGACAGGAAATTTAATTGTATTATGTAAGCTGGACCTTTTTTTTTTATAAAAAGGTTTCATTTAAATAAGGCACATTGCATGGCTTTGAGAGTTTTAAAGGTCCAGTACTATATCTATTCTATTTATGAGTGACTGTATCTAATGCCAGTATTTGCAGTGAATTAGATGATATGTGTATTTGTGAACAGGAGAACACTGAGATTTGTTTACTTTCCAAATCGTTTAATGGTAGTTTACTTAATGCTTAAAATCCACTCTATGTGACATGCACACACAATTAACTTATTCTGGGCTTGCTTTAGATAGGCATCACTGATTTGCCTCTTTATGAAATTTTAAATCATGGAATTTTTATTGAGTGGTAATTCATTATGTAAATAACCTGCTTATAATGGAAGAATCATTATGAAATCTGGTATTTCTAAACTACTTATGTGGATAGTGTTTGATTTCACTGTGTGAATGCACAGGGAAAGCTATATAGGTAATATAAAATCATGCTATTGTGGATTTCAGTTAATGAATTGCTTTGAAGATCTTTGATTTTTTTCTTCTGGAAGAGTCTCTTGACGTTGTCATAAACCATATGAATAGATCAAACAAGAAATATAAACTGAAGACATATAGATTACACATTTTGACAATTTTCTCAGCATTAACCAAACATTACTCTCTGTATTTAGATGAAAAGATAAAGGATATACACTGTAACACAATTTTGTCCATTATCATCCACATCCTTGCCTGCCAATGCTATGTGTTGGTCTTTTAGAGAGGAAATGTATTGTGTAGTTAGAGGAAGAGTAGCCAGATGACATTAATGTCTGTAACATAGATTTTCTTGTAGAAAATTCAAAACATAGCTTTGTTCATAGCTTCTCTTCTAGGCCTGTACCTGATGTTTCATTTGTATTGGTAGAAAAAGCGAAGAAGTAAAAGAAGTTTGTGGATTCTAAGCAGAGATTAGTACTATGCATCAAAGCTAAGAGTTGAATTAAATCTGTTACAGGGGTTTCTGGTCTCTCCAGCTGATGTACTGCTTGTGGTTGGCCTTTGCAGGGGTTGATGAAAGCACTGTATCATGAATTAAGAGCCTTTTTTAGCTTCATAGAGTTTCCTCAGCAAAGTAATTTTGGTGACACTGCAATGCATGAAACAATGGGAGCAGGAGCCAAGAACAAGGGAGAAGAAGATGGACAGAATCATTCCATAGGTGGAAGATATCCTGAAGCTCTAATTCAACTATTAAGTAGGTCCTCTGTTGAAATCAGACTATTACAGTATTTCCAAGGGTGGGAATAAAGAACTATGGTGCACTTCTGAGTTTGCTGCAGTGTGAAATGAAAGGTCACAAAGTAGAAAAATCTGTGAAGAGTGATTGCAACCTCAGTCTGTAAGTCAGACTTTACATCAATACAAAGCATAGGGAAAATTGGGTGGAGTTTTTCTGTCACTAAAGAGATTGCAGTTCCGATGAAGTATCAGTGTCAAAGCGCCTACACATGACAATAATACATAGACATTAAATGGACAGTATAAATGAGAAAGCTGTCATTTTATACTGCACTGTATGTTTGTAGTCAAGGGCTGTGATAATGAAATTTGTGACTTACATAGTGAAAAAATCCCACAGAATCAAGTAGCATAAATGGCAAAGCAATAATCCTGGAAGAATAATACATGTTCCTCTAAAGTGTCACATTTGCTAACAGGGAAAACATTTGTAGCATTAGTGTTTGTTTATCAATTTCATCTAAGATGACATCTCATCTTTCTAAAATTTTAATTAATTTCAGGTAGGTTTATTCGTGGTTCGAACTCCTGATTCACTTACCTTTAAGAAATCGAAAGATTTACAGTTTCCCTTCCACTGAAATAAGAAATTCCAGATTTCAGCAAGATACCCTGCTCGAGCAGGATTTTGCTGAAGATTCTGTCACCACTGCTACAGAATCAGAATACCTAAGGAAACATTACTCCAGACATTTACATCTTCCCCGGCCTGACCTAACCACACACAGATCTGATCTGTATGACCTGGTGTTAGAAAAATGATAGTACCATGGTAGGAGGGGGAGGGAGGGAATGCTTATTTTTGCTATAACAAGCTGAATTGAACTGGTGGTAGCAGCATGTAAAATGCTGTAAGCATACTTTTGATGAGACAGCACCAGATGATGTGGGCTTGCTTCAGAGAAAGTAATGCCAGAATTCTGTCCTTACTAGTACAATGTTGTGGATGTTTATGAGAGGGCGAAGGGAAGCAGAATTTGCAGCATCTTAAGTACAATTTCATTATGTTGCTATGTAGTTACACCAGTTCATATTGCCAAATAATATCCTGGGTTGATATGGAAGTTAGTTGTCAAAGGAGTAGGGGAAAAGATGCATTTCACCACAAGGTGATGGTCTTGCTTTGGCAAAGAGTATGCCATGACTTTTGGAGCATGCCTTTGGCAAACAATAATTTCTATCACTCTGGATCAGACTGTTAATTGCAAATAGAGATGAGGGTTAAAGTTTTCAGTGCTAAAAATATCATCAACAAATTGTGTTTTCCAATTATTATGAATTTAAATGTTCCACAATTGCAATATGACATTGAGTAAGGAGAAAGTAAAGGTTTGAACAATTTGGATTTAATGTAGGGGGCACGAAATTCAGCAGGAATAAAGAATGTTATTATGGTAGTAAAACCCTGGGCTTTTAAAGGCCAGTGTCATGGACTTTGAACTGAGAGAAATTCAGGTGGGAATGTTTTTTTGGATAAAGTTGTGTTTCATTTTGGCAATAGCAAGTGTTAAGTTGTTAAACCTCATTAGTGAACAAAAAGATTTTGTTAGCCAAATAGAATGACACAACAGTTAAACACTGGGACCAGGTGAGTTACTGGTGCCTGCCTGGGTAGCCGTAATCTGTACAAGCACTCAGAGGACAGAGAATCAATACTGCTCTACTTGGCTGCAAAATAATAGGAACTGTCATGCTGTTTCCATGTTCAGAGTTTGACTGGAGGTTTGAGTTAGTTATGAAGTAGTACAACATTTAGCACTGTAGACCATTTCTTAATTGCCTCAGAAAGCTTTTACGTGAGCAATCATTCCATCTTTAGCTTAGTTAACAACAAGAATCAGATTTGCTATTTCCAAGGAGCCTGTTGCTGGGTGAGTTAGAACATGAACTGAATCACAGTGAGGGCATAGCAATGTCTCCCTTTAGCACCTGCCTCATGAGTATTAAAAAGTTTCATGTAAACATG